CTGCAAATCAAATATCAATTTCCAAATCAAGGAAACCTCGACATCAGCCAGTTTGTCAAGGATCCAAAAAAAAACGATGTTTTTTGCTGCATTTATTACAACTCTTTCACCATACACCAGGCGAGAAAGTGAAAAGCACTATTGAATTTATTTTGGCGTTTAATCCTATTTTGTAATTTAATGCTAGAAATCACTGTAACTGAAGCGTCGATTGCTTTATTAAAGGTGTTTTCCAAATTATTCTGCCTGTCGCTTTTTCTTGCCCGATGCTATCAATCATATTTGTATATTTTATTTCTTACTTACAACCTCTCTTCTTCAAAATAACATAATGATAAACCTGTATTTTAATGGTTTCATCTTTTGTCAACAAACGGAAAGGTATCAGTGTGGCTGTGCATTAGAATGATTGCCAGGAATGCCGATTTTTGCGTATTGTGATGGTTCTAATTTTTCCTATAATGAAATAAATCCACTGATAAGGAAAAACAGAAATACCCATTTATTTATTTTCAGGATCGATGATTTTACGGCATACACTGTAAACTTGAATGAGGTAACTTACCGTTAGATTAACATTTAAAAAAACATTTTCATAATTCAAATAAAAAATAAAACATTTATTTACAATATTAAATAATACTCAGAATAGGTAAAAAAACAAAGTGAAGAACTTTACACGAACAACTAAAGGAAAACTTTACAGTCTATTCGTATTTTCAATATACGCCTTTCTGTCCACATGCACAAGTCGTCAAACATGATATTTTTCTATAATTTTAAAAATTCGTTTATTTGTTTTAAATACAGAAAATAGTTTTTTTTCTTAATTAAAAGTGTATAAAATATACTTGAACAAAAAATATTTTGTTATGTATACTACCATTTTCTAATGCCTGCAGAAATTGAAAAAATCTAGCAGCCTCCGGCGTGTCGGAAGTTGTCTGTGGTGTTCTGTTAGACTCCCAGGAACTAGCAAAAATACAAAAACATGCATATTATGACTGCGCGCCGCCTCTCTCCGTATTTTTAGGGCTGATAGAAAATTGCGGCACTTTGCTGCAAGAGAAATTTGCACGCCACAAAAATAACTAACTAACTGGGGTGCCGGCTAGCTCAAGGAAAATTTTTGATAGGGATTTCGTTATTATGAATTATTAACGTTACAAGAAAAACACTCATTTTTAATACGCCAGTGGTTAATTTAATAATTAGGGACCGGATTTTTATGTAAATACATATTTTTGTCTTTCTACTCTCCGTTCTCAAAACTGAAATCTTGGCGAATCGTCGCCATCGAAATACAAAATCCAATTTTTTCGTTATATATTTTTACATACTTAGAACTATATTACATATTTTAAATATTTTGCTATTATTGCAAAATATTTTTTTATATCTTCAATGTTCGTGAATTCTCGGCTATCCGGGAGACGCCGCGTCGTTGGCTGGGGTGCCGACGTTTCGCCTGACATGTCGCAGGCTTCCTCAGGGCAGTGACAGTAAGGCGTAACGTTTCTTGAACAATGACCTTGCTTCCCCCTCTCTGGCACAATAAAAAGTTGAAAGCAAAAGCTCGCAGCGAGTACTGATGACATTCCAAACACATCATCTCTGGCGCGAATTAGAAACTATTTTCGGTTGAAGACGAGAACTTCTGTCCGTGATTTTCTCCAAAAAAGCTAAAGAAATTATTGAAGCGGTTGAAGATCCATTACAGGAGATACCTCGAACTCCTGAGAAAGGTAGAACGCAAATTATCGAGAAAGTTGCGAAGGCATGACTGTTTCTCCAGACTCTGGCATTGCTTCATAAAATCTAGTGGCTAATTACGTAACTAATACCCCCACTTCAATCCATCGTTCAAAAATGGGGCATGAGAGCAGCCCAAATTTTTGTCACAGGGACGAAAGGGAATAAGAATGATTAATAATACAGCACGAGTGGTATAAAAAATAATAAATGTTATGAATTTAAATTGGATATCATTAAAATTAAATTTTAGGACCTTAGTCCATTTGGATAAGGTAATGAAAATAATGATCAGACATACTTATAAGAATGTTTCACACGGTCACTGCACTATCTTTGCCTTTTATCACATTTAGAATTTTGACGCTGGCATTTGATAAACTCAAAGAGAAAACCACTGAACTTCTGTTCCAGAGCTCCTTCCACGTCAAAATTTAAATTTCCTTTCTTAATTCTTTGATTAATTCTGCTATGTTATTCATAATATTTTTGTGATTCAGTCTCATTTGAAGAAGTTTAATTTTCTTCCTTCAGACGGCTTTGGTCGGTGACTGAGGAACAGGGCCTTTCTGTGTCTCCTTACATTTTTGTTTGCTAGGAGATTTGCATTCAGAATCACTTCCACATCCGATTGGACTTCTTTGTCCTGTATTACATACAAACTCGTTAATGTGGTCACCCTATTCAATAATTGGTATAATCATTGTTGAAGACAAATTTTTACTTTCATACATGGTTCATTGGAATAAAAATTATATGAAAAAAAACTGTTTTTAAATTACTTACATTGACGTTAGAAGGTTCAAATCACATTAAATGTCGCCTCAGAGATGTTTCTTTCCCAAGGTGAACAGGAAAATCAAACACAGAAGGAACTGCAGCGTATTTCAGTAACATGGCTGTTTCATCCTGGTCTAAATTAAAAACGCAAGAAATTATAAACACGTATACACATGAGGTAAATTTATTTCACATATACTGTTAGAAACAATGATCATCGTCAAATTACTACTTATAATTAATATTAACCTGACAGCAATCCTCAAGAAAATGTTTGCCGCAGAGAGTGCTACTTAATGGTTTCCATTTATCTTCTGACAGCATGAATCAATTTCTGGTCAAGAAAATGGGAATCTGCTTCAAGAAGACATACAAAACATATTTATATAGAATTTATTGTTAAAACGTTGTAATACAGCATCGCACGACGGCGTAATTTCAAAAACATTTGGAAAGAGAAATCTCTTACCAAATGAATCCCACTTCCTGTCATCTGGCGTTGTTTACATCCGCACGCAACACATTACTTTACCATTATGTTTCTTGTTAAAAACAAAATTAACTGAAATAAAGCCACATAAAGCCACGCCGTACCAAAACACGTACCATTAGGCACATTTTAATGCGCTCCAGATTTGCCAACTCAGCAGAATCAGGCGTCACCCTCCCAAAGGATTTCCATCATTGCAGATGTGGATCCAGTTTATATAGTTGAGATCACTGTAATACCACTGTGATACCATACGGTCGTGTTACGGTCTACTGCGACATCTAGCGGCAAGACAAACAAAGACGCAAAGACACCGTGAAGACAGTACCTCACGCGCCAAGAAATAAAAATCCAAGTATATGTTTCATAACAGGCCGCGAAGTTCTCACCTCAGTAGTTCTGGGCGTGAAAGTCGCAATAATCTGATGGTATAGAACAACATTCTTCCAAAAGATAACCCCGTGCACACGTCAAGTTCTTTCATTACTCCGGAGCTAAACGCAGAACCATCTCGTTTTTTAGGTAAGTACCTGTAAGACCAACTAGGTTAACTACTGGAATTATCCAATTCACATTCTCTATGAGAGAAATTACTAACCCACCATTAATATATTAATACAAATCTTAAAAAAGGTGTATAAAAGGAAAAAGAATGCCTTCATAATTTAGCTATCCTATCTTATTTCATTAATTAGTTAATTTACTCACAGCTTTTCAGTTAGCTGTCAATTGTTGTTCATTGCATCTTGTGTTCTCAATTTTGTAACATTTAATTTTATCTTGTGTGTAGTTACATTACAGTAAGAAAACATATCAATCTACTCCAAAAGCCTGTAATCCTATGTAACCAGAATAATTCCATTCGTAACACTTGAATCTAGAAGTTAAACGTGCCTCGATTATGTAATAATATTTTCTTCCTTTTAATGGCATATTTTATACTGTATACTCTTCTAAGTGAAATAAACACTCAGTGATACCATGTGAAATGTTTTGGTAAGTGGAACTTCACTTTAATGCAACAATCTGTACTGTGTTTTATATTCCTTCCATAGTCTATTGGACTGCTCCAATTAGAATTTTGTTTGTTGTAGGTGAATTCATTTCATATCTTCATTTAGGTTTGCAAATTGGGGGAACATTGAACTTTGCTCATTTGGCAATAAGTGATTGTGTCTAGTAAAGACCCTTAACCATTTTTAATGTTAGACAACCAAATACATGTGTTGTTAAATTGTATTTATTGACTGTTAACTGTTTGTTATGTACGGAACTTTAATCTAACTCTGATGGAGATCTACTATGTAAGGTGAAAACATTGGTGAACTACTTCAAAATTTAATTTAGAATATTAATCTACATTGTACATATGTCGAAATTAAAAATCAATGTAAATAATTTTTATTTTTTAATGTATCATATTTTAATTATATGTTAATGGCTATGGAAGTTGCATAATTTTTAAATTGAAGGTATGGATGACAAACACTACAATATTCAACAGTTCCTTTTAATCCAGTATAGGAAATGTGGTCTTTTCCCAAAACTTCTGGATTTATTACCTAAAAATTTGAAATGTATCAATTATTCCAGTCTGAAAGATTGTGGAAAGTTTGACATTGACTAATTTAAAATGCAGTTACTGATGTAGAAGTGCAGTGTTCTTTTTGCAAACTAAATAAAATAAAATCCCCCAAATTGATCAGAAAATAGAATCCTATTTATCGAATTTTGAATTTAATAAATTTGAAGATACACCAAGAATATCTCTGTATATAAATACCCCAAATCTCTTTTTAAGAAATTCAATTCTCTAATGTAAGTCATGTTAACTTTCCTTTGGTGAATGAAGCTGTTACTAGAGGAAAACGTCAACATGGTCCCATTATGAAAAGTAAGTAGAATTTAGAAAATATCTCTAAAATCACCAAAAACATATTAGAAGTAATTTGGTACACATAGTCTATAACAAAAGAAGCCATTCATGAGTTATGATGACCTAAAATTTAAATGTAAAGGATGATTGAAAGAATCTAAGGTAATTTAAATAATAATCGGGATATGTCCCCCCCCCCCCCGAAAAGGAAAGGTGGAAAAACTGTAGCTTTAAAGGAATAGTACTATTACAGTATTATTAATGACAATGAAAGCAACATTGAGATTGATGAAAAAGAAACCTATGCCAGGTGTAGTAGATTTAGTTTTAAAAGATATTCTACAAAGGTGCTACACGTACATTACACAAAAAGAATACAAGTTGTTTTCTACTTCCACACATGTATCTAGAGGTTGTAAACTTCTTAAAACACACAAAAACAATCGTTCTTTTTGGATCATTATATCCAGCATGAATTCAGCTATTTTCGTGTATGGACAAATAAAGAGCTTACTGAAGGCAAATAACTTATCTACTAAAACTATTTTATTTCAAAAGTTTGGATAACATCACCTTATCTGAGTCACTGTGTTGTCACTCCTGTCCACTGTGCGTCCACTTCAATCTACCAAATTATGAAGTCGTTTGATGTAAAAATCCTTATTACTAGTATTGCAGATGAATTTATTATTGACAGAAATAAAAGATGGAATTTAATTGAAAATTTTTGTAACATCCCAAAATTAGAACTTACGATGTGTATCAGATTTATTCTTAATAGTACAATTTTTAGCTTTTGATAGTGTTTACTACCATTAACAGTCTGCTCAAGAATGAGTTGATGTCTTTCCCCATTACTTGCAGGAATAGTGATGAGGGTTTTGGAACAAAATTGAATAGCTAAATTATTAATTACACCTCTGAGTTATGTAAGGTATGTAGATGATATTTTCTGTAATACCTGACATTCTATATCATACCTGACTCGCAAACTTCAATATGGTTGATATTTTCAATAATTATTATAACAATTTCAAATTTACATTTTAAAACGTAAATATCTTCTAAAATTAGTTTCTTGGGCATTACTATACATAATTTTGATAGTACTCCATTGTTGAAACTATAGAATGACATAAGGAAGATTTTGTATTATTAATCACACTCTATAGAACAAATTAGTGGTTCTACATGAACGTATTCTTTCTCCCATTATTTCTAACTGCTTATATTGTACTACTACATGAAGATGCCAAAGTGATTTCAGCCAACAAAAATTATTTTCCCCATCGACACCAGAACTTGTGTCCTCGAAGTGAACGTGCAGTCAGTTATACCACTTCAGAACCGCCGTCGATTAAGACGAGGAGGAAGTTTGATGAGCAACGCTGCTGTTTTTGAGGAAATTGCATTTATGTATTTCAGCCATAAATGACCCAAAATCATATTTTTTTAAAAATAAATTGTACATGACCGTCTTTTAAGAGCATGTTTAAGCAAAAATAGATAATTCAAATTATTTAATATTTTTGAAAATCCGAAGAGTTCATCGCGAATAGGAGTAGCGCCATTTTTTTTTACTTTCTCGCCTTATAAATTCTTCAAAAGAAGAGAAAGTTATGTTAACGCCAGAAAACCCCTCAATTTCGCCAGAAAAATCCTTATTACCGTGTTCTGGTAACGAAAAAGTGTATAAATCGTGTCGCTAAATTAAAAAAACAATCAACTAACTCATGGCGTAGCCAGAATCCATGTTTTGTTGGTTCTTGGTACCGAAAAATCGTTTGACGGCAAAACATCTGTCCGTCCGTCTGTGGTCAACGCATAAACCGTTCGGCCGAATTTCTTCAAAATTGATATTCCCTGATCGATCCGAATGAACTTGTTGTTTGGGAATTTCAAACGAATATTTTTATTTTTGAGGGTGCTTCGCATGAAGCCACAAGTACTTTGAAAATGTCAAAAACTGTTCTAAATTGAAATGTTTGTCCCAAACAAAGTGTTGTACAAAATTAGTTCTTTAAAAGAATTCATGTACAAGTTTTGGAGCAAATGAATAGTTTTTGCGAAACTTACGCTTGAAATTATCGCATTTTTTCTCAAAAGACGCTCCAAATTTTTTGTTTCAATTTTCTTCACTTTTGTAATAAATGATGGTAAAATAAATTGTGCTAGTGCTTGATTTTTCGAAAATTGCAAAAATTTTTAAAACTACAAAATTGTGTATTGAGTGTCTTGCCTCAGACAAGGTCTGTTGAACAAAAATAGCTCTTTAAAAAAAGGTTGGGTACAATTTTTTGAAAAAAAAGGAGTTTTGCGTAATTTGCATTGAAATTTATGATTTTATCTCAATATCTGCCCCAAATTTTTCGTTTAATTTTTCCCCTCATGTAATAAAGGACGATATATGGTGCTAGTTTCTTTTTCGAGTTTAGTTCGATTGTTTCTGGAAGATGTCAAAAGAACGTGAACATATCAAAACTATAACTCTATTTCTTTTAGTCTCAGCTAGCTATTGGGACTTACCACATACTCTTGCTCATTTTCACAGAAGACTGTTGAGTTTTCGAGAAACTTAATACATTATTTAAAGCACATGTGCTCATAAATACATTGATGTAATCAAATTGCCGCAAATGTAAATATTAACGTGAGATACAAGTTAAATTATTTTTTTTTGAAAACGAAACAAAAAACAACAACAACAACAAAGGAATAGAGCAATATGGCGTTTACGTAGTCGTATAGGGTGCATTTAGCTATATCCT